TGGTCTCATCATGACCAGTTGTTCCGCTCATTGTAGCTGCTCGTATTTAACCTGATCTTTTATCCATTGTTAGAGTTTTTTCTTGCCCTGAATGCATACCACATGCTGATTGTTGTCCTGCTCCTTTCTCTTTATGATGCTTTGGGCTGTGTATCATTCTCTTTATTTATCAACACTTCTAATCAAAACATCATGTCAACAATCAGTTTGTCTTGATTTGCCTAAGGTATGTTACTTTTTTTGGCAACTCTTTGCAAGCATTTTTTTTTCTGATTACCAGGAAACAAATAAGGAACAAGCTGCTCATTGTACCTGAACTGCACGCTCAGCACTTACACATTGCATTCCCTCCATAACATCAGTTGTGATTGGACGTTTCATTAGATATTTTATGTCTCAAATAGCTAAATTAACCTAGATTAGAACCATCTCTGGACTACAGGTCTTTGGGGGTATTTACAGACAAAACATTTTAAATATCTAATTAATGATTTTTTTTATTATTTTCTCGTCTGGTTCACTGCTCTCACTGTGTCAAACTGGTAGTTTTCTCTGACTGCGGATCAGGAGCAGGGTTTTCTTTTGAGTGTTTGAACAGTTGTCTGTGATTAGTTAGCTGAAGGTTTCATTCTTTATGCTGAGAGTAATTACCCAGGTAATTATTCTTAATTGGCTTCATTAATCTTCAAACCTGTCGATCTTTCACTGTCAGGTTGTTTATTTTAGATTGTATTGTGAGGTGAATGTGGGCAAAAAGGTGGGTTTATTTTAATCAACAATGAATTGGTACAGAACTTGAGTAACATTTAATTACTTTATTTTTTGGTAAAAATGATATAGATGGTAAGAATTGACCCTTCATTTGCTGGTCCAAAATTATGGAATTCATTACATTTGAATTGTTCAAAGCTAAGCTGAAGCCACTGTAGAACACTGTTATTGTTATTTTCCACCAATGTTGTTGGTTTTTATTCTTATTTTTTTTATTACTGAACAAATGGAAAGCACTTTGGTTCACTTTGGTTTCCACTGTTGTAAAGTGCTCTATAAATAAAATTTGGGTGATTGACTGAAAGTTTTTTCAGTAATTAGCTTTGCAAAGATGGAAAGAATTATAGAATCATCTGAGAGTGCTGAGGAAATGTTGGGGCAGTTCACCATGACTGGATGAAAACCATTACGTTGTATGTGGAAATATGAGAGAGAATAAAACTTAATGGATTTAAAAGCTTTGATTTTCAAAACTAAACAGTTGTTTCAAAGGGCTTCAGTAAGTAATTAATTTTTTTTTTCACTAAAACGGATTTATGAAAATGGGTTTACTGAAATATTAGTTTTGATTTGTTTCAGGTGTGTTTGTTTCAACATGTTATTGGGTATCATGAGTGTCTTTTAAAAGCCTTCTATTTTTCTTCTTTCTTTTCTCTGAATGTAAACATGCCTGCATAGAGGGCACTAATGTGTGTTGGGTTCACTTATATCATGTTTCCTACTGACTTTTACCTTGTTACGATAGGTTAAATAGAATATGGAATATTTATACTTGCCAAAAATAAATACATTAAAATAAAAAAAATAAATAATAATATTATATTAATAAAACACAGAAGCGTATTTAAAAAGATACATTTTTGGATGATAATACAAACCTTTTAGGCTTTTAGTTATAAAACTGCTGCAAGGCATTCCAGTCACAATCAGAAGGTAAACCAGATGTCTGCACAACAAATCTGAGATAAAATTTATAATCCCAACCGTTTTTTCCGATCCTGCATCTCTCCTTTCAGACCTAATCCAGGTTTTAACGATTAAATCATCTCAAAAAGAGACAAAAAGGCAGTCATGCAAAAAATGGATTTACTTTTATTCTTATAGGGTACATGTCAAAGACTGAAAGGTACTGGTAAGTGGTCACCAGTTCAAACCTGAACGGAAATGAGCTTTCAGTTAGGACCCAGGAACCATTTCAGACCTACTTTACACACAGAGAAAACTGAAGCCAAACTGAAAACGCAAAAAATGTGGACCCCTTTTAATTTCCTCTGCCTTTATGACTGGTGGCCACATGTATTGTGTGTGTGTGTGTGTGTGTGTGTGTGTGTGTGTGTGTGTGTGTGTGTGTGTGTGTGTGTGTGTGTGTG